TATATATATATATATATTAGTAAACACCCACATACTGTTATTGTTATTCAGAATGTAACAGTAGAATGTTTGAAGCTGCAATGGTTATTTGATCAATAGTTGATAAATTGTTTGGAGTCATTTTTTAAGAAATAATGCCCAAATTCTCTGGTTCCAGCCTCTCCAGTGTGTATGTATTTAGGTTGTTTTGGTCTTTAGTAAACGGAATATATTTGGGTTTTGGTCATTTTTCACTAATTTCAGACATTTTATGAACAAACAACTAATTGATTATTCAACAAAATAATTGCCAGATTAATCTGTAATGAAAATTAATTGTTTGCTACAGTCCTAATGTTGTCCATTTTGGTCCTCAGAATCCAGCAGCACACAGACGGAGCCTTCTGAAAGGGAAGAAGACTCATCTGAAAGGGAGGACGTCCACAGTCCGAAGAATGACAGCACTGCAGATCAACCCGAGGAGCCTGCTCCATCAGAGAAGAGTACGAGCTTTGAGCAAGAAAATGGGGAGAGCAGCAGCAGCAGCAGCAGCAGCAGCGATGGAGAAGGCCTATCCAGTGACAAGCAGGTCCCTTCTTCTAGTAATTCACCTGAGTTATCAACAGAGGGCAACGCTGACAGTTCAAACAGTACAAAGACTGCAATAGAGCCTGGAGAACATGACTAACTTGAAGTCCAGCCTGCCAACTGACTGTTTTTTTTACACTGTATGATACCACCCCAAGGGTATATCTGTAGCACTGTGGACCTCTAGACTTCAGGACCAGGGGTGATGTGGACCTCGAGATTCCTCATAGAAGGATCTTATTGTCCTCTAAAGTTTCAGCTACTCAAGGCCGCTCGATGCCTGGTCTTTAAACTGGAAGGAAATGATTTAAAGAAGATTATGGAGACTCTGCTTTTTTCACTGTTGACTAAAAGTTTTTCTAATCTTTTTTTTTTTTTTTTTTTCCTGATTTTTATATCTGAGCATTATAATTTAACCTTGATAACTGATGTATTCTACAATGTCATTAGTCATTTGGCATGTATTTCCAAAAAAGATACATTTGACAGTGTGAGTTGTGTTTTGGCCTGTTGTTTTGACTATCTGATGAATGTGTGAGGACACTTCACAGACGTCTGTTTGCTTTTTCTATGAAGCACATACCATAAGATGAATTTCTTATTAACATTATATTGCACTTGTTTGCATTGACCCCCTTGAAGGATGTGGAAAATGTCAGTTTTGCTTTGTCACTGTATGAAGCCAATATAAACACACAAATTGCCAGTAGAAACCCGTTTGGTTTGGT